TGAGAACCAACACCTATGATTGTTTGTTTTCTGCAGATCTGTAATTTTTTAAATTCCTATTTAGTGATTGTCAAACCACATTTCTAACAACTTAAACAAAACATTATGTGTGCTAGTGCCAAAGTCTGCAGATTGCTTTATTTTTCCTCCTAATTTCATGTACCTGTCATTTTACACATTTAAATCCCCACAAATGGAGGATATGATGGGTGACTCAGCCCAAGCTGCTGCTCAATTTCTTATTAAATGCAGTCAATTTAGCTGGTGATATTAGATATATACTGCTCCTTAACAAGAAAAGTATCTTTATTCCTTATCCAATTCAGTGAGATGTGAAGGAGACTAATGAATAGGAATGGTTCTTATACAATTAAGGAATAAGGAGCAATAGAAGGATGTATATTTTGACTTGTAAAAAATATTAAATGCATGAGACTTTTTTCTGATAGTCATTTGCACTCTCCTTCTCATCCGTAATTCCGTTGTGTGCTAACAAATAAAGTAACCAAGAGAACTATATCCTTTCTCCAAAAATCTTCAAAATGCAGTAAGAACCATAAAAACTATATTAAAGAAAAAAAAACTGATTTCTTTTTCCTTTCTATAGAAGTTTGGGTAGGAAAAAAAGATTACTAGAAAATTACATGTAAGGACTTTAGAAAAGCTTAGAGAAGCTAAAACTGAGCCTGTTTTCCTTATAACTCACAGACTCCAACCTCAGACTTACTAGGTAATCAGTAAATTGACAAGCTTTTGAAGCTCAGAAATTTGTCACTGATCTGACACCTCAGTGAATATAATAACAGTAACACCTTAAATTTATCTGTCTTTTCAAATTGAAACAATACTTACTTGTTTCTCAAATTTACTCCAAAGACTCCACAACACAGGGCAAGATTATACACTAAAAGAGGAAAAATGCGTGATCTAAATAAAAAGGAGTGGCCCTGAAAGGTCATCTGCACAGAAAATAATATGTATGTGGAACATTTAATATGCCAAAGAAGATTCACACTCCCTTGTTCAGAGAGCTTTCTGCAGTTGATACCTCTTGTCTGCAGAAGCAAGTTTGTCTTTGTAAAATGAATTCGCTCCCTGCTTGAAGCTCCCCAGTCCAGACTGTGAGACAATAGATGTATTGATCTGAGGTACACTGTTTGCCTGCTGTGCAGACCTTCATTCTGGGGTAATGACTCTTGATAGCATACTATTCAAGGGTTGATACATAAACTAAGTTTAAAAAAAAAAAAAAAGGAATTTTGATCAACATTTACATCAGTTACTGGAGTCAAATAAAATTTTAGGAATTAGATAATCCTATACTTCTGCTGTATCCCCCAGTTTCTTTGTTCTTTTTTTTGTGACATTTCTCCTGTGGAGAAATCTAATTTACAATTGATAGGAGTGTGCATAAAGAATGCTATTTGTTCTTATGTTATTAAATTTGTTTTTTGTTTATGCAACCTATATTTTCTCTGGGCCTAAGGAGAAATTAAGTCAACCTCTAGGCACCTGAGCGGGGAAAATTAATTGGAACAAATAGCCACTTACAAATGATTTCTTTATTTAGTACCTACAATGATTGTGTCCTTATATTAACAATCATGGTCAATTTAGTCAAAGGGAATGTTTGCCTTTCTTGTAGATTACTCACCTACATTTTTGCTTGACTATTTGGCTGAACTGACTGGATTTGGGGCACATTATGTGTAGTAGAAGCTTGCAAACCCTTGTATTTATAAGAGCTCTAGAATCATCCAGCATTGCACATGATTATGCAAAATGTATTGTTCATCCCAGGGGTATATAGTTAAGACTGTTAAGCTCCTTTTCAATTACTGCTGCCTATAGCATAGTTTGTTTCATAAACTAGACATATGGCTATTTTGCAGAACATGAAATGGAGATGGAAATGTTTAACTTTCATAGAAATGAAAATATATTTTCATTGTCTGTGGTAACAAATAACATTTTCCATATTGTTTAATTGCACAGATTTTCACACGAATATATGAATGTATGCTCATCCAAAAATACTGAGATTGTCTTGTGTTTCTAGGAATCTTAGAGTTTCCTTTTTGAAAATGAACACTGTATCCATGAATGAATGGTAATTGAATTCAACAGATTTCCTACAGAACAATAGCCTTCACTTTTCTCTATATTATCTTAGTTTTATCTTCTTTAACCAGGAAACCCGGAGAGAACTATTATTCACTCAAACCGTAAAATCTCAGATTGTGTGTTCCATGGAGTTGCTGTGACTGAAAATTACCTTTGGTGTTCCACCTTTCAACAAATGTGTGTTTAGAAATGAAATTTAGGAAAATAATGAAATAAAAGTCCTTTTGTGTTCTAAAAAGCTTTGGGTAGTAATTCTATTATTACGGAAAGATTGGTTCTTTGGATTCTGGGTGACCTTTAAGATTTTGAGCCTTCAAGAGAGAATAATTGATGATAAATGAGACTGTAGTAGACTGGTATGTGCAGCCATGATTTGGGGGATTTAGTTTATGCCTGTAGGAAGACTTTAAAAGGAATTAGATCTTGTTCTCACATTCTGCAAAGAGGGTAAGTCAGGTCCACTATCATAAGAACTTTCCAGATTGGCATTCTAGGATAGATAGTAAGATTTCAAGGTACTGTGTGGTTCTTGAAATACAGAAGAAGGAAAAAGAGGAGCTGAATTAGAAGCAGGTTTGGGAGAGACATAAGAGAAGGAGACTGACTTTTTTGAACACCAGAGAAGCTGACAGAAAAATAGCTTTTGGAATCAGAAACTCTTAGGTTTAAATTGCAAATAGAGCATATTATAGCTATGCGGTTCTCCTCAAACGCAGCCTACTTGTAGTTTGTTGCAAAGGCTTAGAGACTATACATGTAAAGCACCTGTCAAAATACCTGACGCTTTTTGGCTCTCAGAAGATGATACCTCCTTTTCAGCCATTTTTCCCCCATTGCAGATACAGGGCACTTATAGCATAGAAACCGAAGGCTATATGAAAGAGATTAGGCTAGGAAAGAACAAACTAGACTGAATGAGAGAAACTTGGCTAAACTAGAAGTGAATGAAGTTTAGAAACTTTCATACGTACTTCTTTAGGTGACATATAGACCAAAGGCCAAAAGAGAACATGACAGATGGTTTTTACAGGTTCTAGCGGCCAAGGGGAAATTGACAAATATTTTATTTCCTATAGCATCCTCTTACTGACTTTTAATTTCTCCTTCTTCCTTGTCTAGAGATTTCCAGCTGTCTTCTCAGAGTTCAGAGTCCCTCACCACATCTTCGCCTTTTTCAGTGTCTCATTTTCCTCTCCTTTGCTTTCTTCCTACCCATGCAAAGCCATGAATTATTGATAACTAATGATAATGTGTTGATTTAATTTTCTTATTTTATCTGTGGAGGGCTGATTAAGTAGCCCTTTCCATTATAGAAAAGGAAATTGTTGATCCAAATTAATGTGTAATTAGTGAGGGCAAAAGTTTCAAGTGAGGCATCTACTGGAGTTTAGAAGGGAAGAGGCTGGTCTGGGAAGAAGTGTGGGGAGTGAAGCTTCTTCACCTTTCATCAAAGCCCATCCCTGAACGTTCCACCAGGGGGCAGAGTGCCTCTGAGTTGTTTGAGGGATACCAGTGTTCACCTTTCTCAGTCTGACTCCCTCTTCTTGGATACTGCAAAGGGTATTAATGTCTCTGGACTCAGTAAAAACAAAAATCTGTAAGCCATGGGAAGGAGGGCTTATTATTTATTTTATATAGCAGATTGTTCAGAGCTATAAGTTTACACAGAGGATTCCTAAAACAAACCTAAAGTTTTTCTTCATGTATGCAAACTCAATTACTTTCTTATTCATCTCTAGTTCTGGATAATGCTAAAATCTTAGTATTCTTAAAATATTGTGACCTTTGTTTAGTGGGGCATTGGGTAAAGTCAAAGGTTAGAAGACAAATAATTTATATTCAAAGTAAAAAGAATTAATTATTTACTTAAATGTATTTTCACCACTATGTTTTTCTCATCACTACGTTTTTCAAAATTTCATTGGTTTAAGATTGATATACCCATAGTTTAAAGGCAGAACACTTGCCATCTACCATTTAAAGAGAGGGTTGCTTTTTTCACACAGAAGTAAGGTGTACTCATGTGTCAGTTTTTCCCAGAAGGCAGACTTTCAAGTCTGTGTAATTTTGGCATTTACTTTAAAAACAGGCATTTATAAATGTGAGTATAATCTTATGTATCACAAAAATAAATTTCTGTGTCAGAAAATGATCATGTAAAATGAAAAAATAAGTGAGGTCATATCATTGCATTCTTCCTTAACTGTTACTTCCTAGCATTTTTCATTGTCCCCAGTGGGGAATTTTCTATGTGCCATTTCACACATCTGTCAGTTAAATTGAACTTTCAAAGTCAACATTCACATTTTAGGATTATACAAGGATTTTCACTGCTCCCTGAGAGAGAACCAGTCCCTGGAGTTGGGTCAGCTGACAAAGGGAATGTCTTAACAATAGTTCAAGCATAGTTTGTAAAACAAAATGCCCACTTCTTTTGACTTATTTGTACATATTTCAAAAGAGGAGAAATCTTTTTCAAACTACTAACTATATGACAAGAATGATCTTGTAATATTTCTTGTACTTAAAATGAACAGACGGTAATGTAGGGATCCATTTATGGTAAATGCTTAAAAGAATCTACACGTGGCTTGCTTAAGTGATGCGTGAAGGCATGAGTCACATCCTTTCTGACTCTGTGGGAACATTCCACACGTTGGCCTTTGATTGGTCAGCCAATATTGGGATAACTAGATTTCAGGGTATCTCTTGCTCACAAGTGTGGTGATGGGACTACAGGGATAGGGCCATTCACAAAGGCTTGGTTACTTGGTCCAGGAGCTATGCCCAGGGGAGTTTTGTAAACACATCTGGTTGTCTCTTATAAGCCCATTTGCTAATTCAGTTTGTGATTA